CATCGGGGGGTGGGGACGACGACGCGCTTCTAACACACTATATCTATTTCCATCTTTGTCTCAACAGTATTGAGATTTAAAAACCCACACTTACTGGGGCTGGCCCCGTGGCCAAGTGGTTAAGTTCGCGCGCTCCGCTGCAGGCGGCCCAGTGTTTCGTCGGTTCGAATCCTGGGCGCGGACATGGCACTGCTCGTCAGACCACGCTGAGGCAGCGTCCCACATGCCACAACTAGAGGAACCCACAACGGAGAATACACAACTATGTACCGGGGGGCTTTGGGGAGAAAAAGGAAAAAATAAAATCTTTAAAAAAAATTTAAAAAAAACCCACACTTACTACTAGTACCGGCACTTTCATTTCCCTGTTTTACGTGCATGTAAAATAAAGACAAAAAGTGACCCAATCCTCAATGACCATCCAACGCTACTGCACGACATGGAGGAGGCAGCACTTATGACAGAGAAAGAACGGCTGATGCGCAGCATCGCCACGCAGGCCACTGCTTCTAAAAGTGGGTTCCTCAGCGGATGCACGGGTCCACACTCGCAATGAACGAGGCAGTTTGGGGATATATAACAATGTACAAAAGTGCCAGCTGTCCAAAAGCTGAGAGAAAAATGTTGAGAACTACCTGCATTTAAAAATAAAAGTTCCAAAGACAAAGGTAATTTTGTAATTCAACTCTACTAAGTCAAAGGATATAATTCCATTACACTAAAGTAGGCGGCGAGCTGAACTTGAATGATGACTATGGGAATGATCACTGCACCTTACATTCCCACAGTCCGTCACAGGTCACGAATATTCACGGATCTGTCTCATCAACATCACTGTGTGGCAGACACTTAGGGATGTCCTCGATTTGACAAATAAGGACACTAACGGGCAGGGGGTGTGGGAATGTGCCCACTGTGGGAGCCAGCATTAAACCAAAGGGAGCGTATGCTGTGATCAAACAATTAAATAATTCACCAACAAATGGTTAAGAAACAGCACAAAAGGCAAGCAGAAGAGGATGGATTTGGTTAAGGCAGGAAAAAAAAGTTTCTGTTATGACTTGTATTTATCCTGTTTTTAATTTTCAAAGCATTGCACGTATATGTTTAAAAATTTCAAACAGTTAAGAAAGACTTAAAATGAAAAGTCTCCTTTCCCCACCACTTTCAATTCTGGTAACTCCTCAAAGATAATCATTTTTATATCCTTCCAGAAAAAAGTTATGATTTCAAAAATTAAATTAATGTATACTTTTTATAATTAAAACAAATGAGATCATACTATATGCACCATGTTATTTTCCCCACTTGGTAATGTACTTGGATCTTTCCCTATGGGGACACACAAATCTATTGTGTCCATTTTCATGGCTGCATTCTATTCCACTGTACCAAAACCTCATTACGCAACCAGCTCTGTACTGACACACACAGGTGTTTCCAGTATTTCACTATTAAAATAATGCTACAACCAAACATCTTGTCCATATATACAGGGATCCTCTCTCAAGTAAACAGTAATGTTAATCAGTATAGCTAAATGCTAAGCAGTAGAAATCCCTGGTGAAAGAGCATATGTATTTCAAATACATATTTCAAACACAGACAGATATTGTCTTTGTACATCAACTATATGTGGTGTGCTACTCCCTAAACCCTTAATAACACCAGAAATTATGAACAGTTTTACTTTTGGCTAATCCATTAGGGAGACTAGTTCTCTAATTACTGTTTTGATTTACATTGACCTATACATGAGACTTAGCATCTTTCTACTGGCTAGCTTTATTTTTTTATGTGAATTACCCATTTTTCTATTGTACTATTTTTCTTTTTATTATCGATTTATATAAACTCTTTGTAAATAAGCCCTTTGTTTCAAGTACTGCAAATAATTTCCTCTTTTTATAAAGAAGCTTTTTATATTTGTGTGATTTTTCATCTTTTCCTATATGACTTCTGTGTTTGTTCCTATTTAAAAAGGCCCTTCCAGGCCAACCCAGTGGCTGAGCAGTTAAATTTCTGTGCTCTTTACTTCAGCGGCCCGGGGTTCGCAGGTTCGGATCCCCAGCACAGACCTGCTCCACTCATCAGCCATGCTGCGGAGGCATCCCACACACAAAAGATAGAGGAAGATTGGCACAGGTGTTAGTGCAGGGCCAATCTTCCTCATGGAAAAAAAGGCCCTTCCAAGGCCAAGACTACAAATTGTTTTCTCTTTATATTTTCACGGCTTCACTTTTTAATATTTAAATCTTTTTTTTTTTTTTTTTGGAAGATTAGCCCTGAGCTAACTACTGCCAATCCTCCTCTTTTTGCTGAGGAAGACTGGCCCTGAGCTAACATTCGTGCCCATCTTCCTCTGCTTTATACGTGGGACACCTACCACAGCATGGCTTTTGCCAAGTTGTGCCAGGTCTGCGCCCGGGATCTGAACCGGCGAACCCTGGGCCGCCTGAGAAGCGGAACGTGTGAACTTAACCCCTGAGCCACCTGGCCAGCCCCAATATTTAAATCTTTAATCCACTTGGAATTTATTCTGATGAGAGGAATGAGATAGTGATCCAGCTTTATTTTTTCCTACAGATTCAATCAGTCGTTATTTTTGAGTGCATTATCCATCTTCATATAAAATACCACCTTTATTCTATACTAAATCCTCTGGTGTATTCTGGACTTTCTCCATTGTCCCACTGAACTGCATTTCTTCTCGAGTTCTGAGATGCTTAAGGTTACTGCTTTGATTACTACTTTTCAGAAATTTCCTGGTTATTCTCGAATATTTATTCTTCTAGATCAGGGTTTACCAACAGTGGCACTATTGACGATTGGGCTGGATAATTCTTTATTGTGGGGGCTGTCCTATGCATTGCAGGATGTTTAGCAGCATCCCTGACCTCTACCCACTAGATGTCAGTAGCACTCCCCTAGTTATGACAACTAAAAATGTCTGCAGATATGCCAGCTGTTCTCTGGGTTGGGGTGGAAGGCAAAATCACCCCGATTGAGAGGCACTGTCTCAGATAAACCCAGTATCATTTTATCAGTGTCTCCACTCCCAGATTCCCACTGATATTTTAATAGGGATGGAAATGAATTTGTAGAATAATTTAGACATCTTTATTATATTTAATATATTATGCTTATTAATCTTTATTATACTTAATCTTCCTATCCAAGAACCATGTATGTCCTTCTACTTATTTATGTCTTCTTTTATGTCCTTCAGAAGAGTCTTAAGATGTTTTTTGTAAATATAGGCTTTTGTAATATTAAGTTTATTCCTGGGTATTTTACCTTTCTCATTCCTTTATAAATGGGATCATTTCTTATGTTATTATCTTTTCTAACTAGTTACTGATAAGCAAACTACTCACATTTTATATTCTACAACCAGCCACACACTGAACTCTTATTGTATCTAATAGATTTTCAGGACATTCTAAGTTTTTTCTAATGCTACAATTTTCAGGAAATTCTAAGCATTGTTCTAAGCATACAATGTTATTATCTACATAAAATCATCATTCTGCTTCCTCATTTCCAATACTTATACAGCTATAACTCTTCTGTCTCACTGCCTTGGTTACTACTTGCAGAAAAATTTGGATGACAGTGGTGATGGTAGGCAATCTTGATTTTAACGGGAATACTTCAAGGATTTCACCATTGAGTAGGATGCTGGCTTTGGTTTGAGATACATATATTTCATATCACTAAAGAAGTATCTATGCATTTATAGTCTACCAAGTTTGTTTTTAAATCAGAAAGATTGCTACTTCTGTCAAATGCACCCTCCATTTCTATGGAGATGACCAATGGTTTTTCTTTGGTCTATTACTACTGTAAGATAGACTATATTCCTACACTTCCCAACATTAAGCCATTCTTGGATGGCATAAAGCCACTTGGTTGTGATGTGCAGTAGTATTCTTTTAATTTCTTGTTGAATTCTATTTGCTAACATTTTGATCTCACATTTTGCACCAATATTTGAAAGTGAGATCATTCTGCCATTTTTTTAGTGGAGCTTTGTTAACTTTTGGAATTACTGTTAGGCTGGCTTAATAAAAATAAGCTGTACTTTCATTTCTTTTATTTTTTAAACCAAATGTGTGTATTTAGTACGAAACAAGTCTTTAAAATAGTAAAACCTCTGTGTAGAAGTACAAGGCCATTACCCCTACATCCAAAAAAAGCCACTCTTCATAGATTCAGCTTTTTGAAAGCTGAATAAATTAAAATACACCTTTGGAAAGCTAATATGGACTGTGATATTTTATGTAGAGTACAAAAATCTAAGTATACCACCATGCAACCTCTATTATAAATTAATAGTGACATATTCAGCTATTTTCCCATTAGACAATTTAGCAATACACGGAGAGCTGCATTATAAGAGTTAGACATGGAAAGCTTAGCTTTCTCATTTATGTGGCTCCATAAGAAACTTAAATACATTCTTTGATGTTTTATGCTTCTCATGCTCTGAACTCAAATATAATGGTTAAAAAACCCTTTTCTGATTCTCAAAAAACTAGTAACAGTGAGAAAGTTCACAGGTCCCAGCAGCCACTGCCATCTAAGTGACTCAGCGCAGCCTTGATGTGAGGCCCTCCCCGTGTCCCACAGGATCCAGGAAGAAGGCTGTACTCCTGCCTCTGCCAGAGACCTACAGACTTCATCCGCTCATCCAATGTACACTGCAGCAAGACAAGCCCAGAAGACACACCGCCCCGCCTGGATCTCAAAAGGATTTCAGAACACACGGTGACAGATGGACAACTAGAGTGACAGAAGGGGCCACAGCACTTCCCATCACCTTTTTGTTTCTCATCTACCTCCCCACCAGATATAAACTCCCTGAGGGCAGGGACGCTGTCGCCGAAAACACTGCCTGGCGCAAAGTGCTCAGTACATGTCTGATGAGGGAGGGATGCATGACTCACTGAAGTGCTTTCCTATGGCCAAGACGAACGGCCCGCCTGGCTCCCTCCTACCTGAGTTGCTCCTCAGGCGGCCCTCTGCGAGCTCGGAGATGGCTCCAGCTGTTGAAGTCTTTTTCAGGCGAACGACTCCAGAAGCGGCAGTACTTCCCGGTTTGCTGAGCATGTCCTCACTACTGGCCCTCTTGAGCTAAGAGAGAGAGAGAGGGAAAGAAAGAGGATGAAGAGGTACATTTTCAGTAAGGAGTGCTATGAACCAAGAAAACACCTGAGCAGTACCACCTGCCCAGAAGTTAAGATGCAGTAACGGCACTTCGAGGAGCACAACATCTGAAGTGGAAAAATGCAAGGCTAGACAAACTCGCGTCTGTCGTCCATAGGTCAGAGCATGATTTTCCATCACCGTTTCAAAGAATATTATAAGATTATGGGTGAATATTACCCACCATGTCACACTTCAAATAATGAGTTGAGAAAAAAATATGCTTTCCTGGTTAAAAAAAAACACTTTTTTTAAAGAACAAGAGCTGATGAGAAAAGAACTGTGCGATAGATGCACAAAGGCAGGATAGGGCAATGCAAAAAACTTCAAGGACAACAAAAATGGCTTAAAATATATGTCTGGAGGAAGTAGAGGGAAGAGAGACACACAGCCTCAATAGCCACCATGTGCTCTACACGGAGCTCTGTGTTTGATCTCATACAGACAACGTGGTCAAAGGGAAGGAAGGGAGTTTTCTGGAGGCCAGAAGAATGCTGTTAACGGATGACAGAAAGAAAGCACGAGTCCCCCACTGCTTTTCTGCTTTCCTCCCTGTCATGAAAGAGGAGACTAAACATTTGCTGAAAGGTACTGAAGTGTAAGAGGGGGACCCCTGAATGAGCTCACACTCCTGGCCCAGGTAAACTACATTCAAGATTAATGAGAAAAACTGCAAATAAACTCTCTCAACCACTGTCAATCTCTTTAAAATATATTGCTGAAGAGGATAGAGACTGGAAGAAGACTGGAGACAGGCAGGTGCCCAGAGCCATCAAGAATATATCTGGGGCTGGCCCCGTGGCCGAGTGGTTAAGTTCGCGCGCTCCGCTGCAGGCGGCCCAGTGTTTCGTTGGTTTGCATCCTGGGCGCAGACATGGCACTGCTCATCAAACCACGCTGAGGCAGCGTCCCACATGCCACAAGTAGAAGGACCCACAACGAAGAATATACAACTATGTACTGGGGGGCTTTGGGGAGAAAAAGGAAAAAAAATAAAACTTTTAAATAAAAAAAAAAAAGAATATATCTGACATCTGGAGAAAACAGGATGAAAAAGCCCCCAAATCAACAGAGACACGGAGCGGGCAGCCCCTGCCCACCGCACAGCTCCGACCTCCTCCACTGGTTTCAGGGTCATTTACTGAAGGTAAGAGGTTTAAATATTTGCACAATTGCAAAAAACATTTTCCACGTTCGCATTGTTTAAATTTCACAGTATTATTACACACACCCCAGAATGGCCTGAAAGAGAAAAAAATACCAATACAAAGTATCGGTGAGGTTGTGGAGCAAGCAGGACTCTCACGCTCTGCTGGCAGGGGGTAAGGTGGTAAACACTTTGGAACACTGGCAGTATCTGCTAGAGCTAAATATCTGCACCCTATGATTTAGCAATCTCATTCCTAGTTCTATACTCAAGGGAAGTGAGTACACAGGTTCATCAAAAGAACGTTCATAGCAGCTTTATTTATAAAGGCCCAAAACTAGCACAACCCAAATGTTCTTCAGCAGGAAAAGGGGTAAATTGAATAGTGGTGCAGTACACAATGGAAACTACACAGCAATAAAAAAAAAGAATTGTGATATACTAATAAATGGTTGCATCTCACAGATATTATACTAAGTGGAAGAAACCATATATACTGCCTGATTCCATTTATATGAAGTTAAGAATCAGCAAAAACAAATGATAGTGATAGAAGTCAAAATAGTAGTTACCTGTCGGGGAGTTACTGACTGGGAAGGAAACTTCTGGGCTGCCAGACTGTTCTACATCTTGACCAGGTGGTGGTTATACAGATAGAAACGCACGTAAAAATCCAATGAGCTGTACAGCTAAGACTGAGATTTTTACATACTTTGACTTACTTCATTGTTTATAAGCTATATCTCAACAACAACAAAAAAGAAAATAGGAGGAGTTATAATTTGGGCAAAACTCTGGTTCCACCCCTGCAAATGCTAGCCGACATTTTTTTTCTTCATTTTTCCTCATTGTTATTTTAAAAAATTTTTTATTGTCGTAAAATACACAAAACATAAAATGGTAACAATTTACCATTTTAAGTGAAGAGTTCAGTAGCATTAAATACATTCACAATATTGTGCAACCATCATCACCATCCATCTCCAAAACTTTTCCATCGTCCCAAACTGAAATCTTCTTTTTAAACAATAACTCCTCATAGCCTACTTTCTAAAAAACGGAAGACGGGGAAAGTCTTAATATTAGCCAAGCAATCCTGGTCAGGATCTTTAAACAAATTATTAATTTTAAAAACAAATAGCAAATATTGAAAGGATGATTTGTGTGTACTTCCAGTTACTAGATGTGAACAGAACCAAATTTTCTGGCCAACAGCATTGACTCCTAGTTTAACAACAGGACTGAATATGACACATGCGTTGATGCAGAAGTCACCTGACTGCCCTTCTCACAGGGACTCCTGCCTCAGAGTAACAAAGGGTCCTACACCCAAGGTCTCAGCCTCTCAATTACCCACCAGGTCACCAGTGTAACACGTGTTTTAGTACTACATGAGAAGAGTTCACAATGTCAGCAACTTTTTCTCAATAGAAAAAACCATTATTTGCTCCTCCTAAAAGCATGTCCAGGTGTCTCCCTGGGTCCCCAGAGGAAAATCAGTTCTGATTTTAGACTTTGAAAATTCCCCAGACAACACCTCAAAGGAAAAGAGAAATTGTTGTAGTTAAGGGAATTCCTAACACAGTAATGCAAATGATATGTACTCCGTGCTGCTTTCCTCTCTCTGATTCTCTGACATTACTAAAGTCAGTAAGTCTGATGCAAAGAACCGTGGAATAACCAAACTACAGCAAAAGGCTCAGAGAGCAAAGGCTCGGTATGCAAACCAGAATGGGGAATCCAACAAATGAGAGGACCCCTACCTGGGCCAGAAGTGAAACTGCCTCCTGCAACCCCACCACAGCCTCCACCCACCCCCGGGGTGCCCCCATTCCCACTTTCCAAAAGAGCTTGGTTCTTGGTGAGATAACAGCCACAGGCAACAGAGGATGACAGTTGGCAAGCAGTGGGAAGACTTCCTCCTTCGTGGTCCCGCTCTGTACTATAAATAGATCTGATGCTGCCCTTTCCAGGCAACAGGATGAGTAAGACGCGCTCCAGGCCAGAAGCATGCCATTTCCTTACCACGCAGCATGGGGAGTTCGGGCGGCAGCAAAGCCTGTACAGGGAGCACTTCATTTCCCAGCACTTTCCACATGGAATTCCATTTGAGAAAGATTTATTGCTTAGAAGCTTTCCCAGGAGGCAGGACATAAAGGCTAAAAACTGATCCCCCCGTTCTCTGAAGCAAGCAGCTGAAGTTATTCTCCCTCTGTCACTATTTTTTGGATGCAAAATCAGATACGGAAAACTACTAGTCTCAGTTACTAATTCTTGTTCTTTCTCTGTTCACGGCTGCATTTTCGGCTTTGTTTCCTGGGATCAAATGCCGCTTCAGCACTACCTGAGATTTCTGGTTTGTTACAGATCACAATGAAGGTATGCGCTTCAGTGTTGCTTTGATACGTTTAATAAGTATTTTCACTAACGGTTTCACTGATATTTAAGCTGCTGAGCACCTGCACGTGAAAGCTTACAAAGGGAACAAGTTTAAATAGCTCACAGATTAACGTAACTAAGAAATTCCCCTCAATTCCACAAAGATGGGGGGGTACCCAAAGCTCTAAAATCAATACACACAAGAGAACCTCGTCTTTAAAAGTAGAAAACATGTTATGGTTGGAGCAGTGGTTCTCAAACTTGAGTTGCATCAGAATCCTTGGAGGGTTCATTAAAGTGCCAGCTGCTGCCCACACCCCAACCCCCAATCTGCCCACCACCGTCACCAAGTCTGATTCCCTAGGTCTGGGGCGAGGCCTGAGAATCTCCATTTCTAACAAGTTCCCAGGAGATGCTGGTGCTGCTGGTCTGGGGACCACACTTCGAGAAGCAATGGTTTAGAGCAGCCCTGTCAATGGAAATATAATACGAGCCACATATGTAGTTTTATATTGTTTAGTAGCCACATTAAATATGTAAAATAGGTAAAGTTAATTTTAAGAATATATTTTCTTAATCCAATAAATTCAAAATACTATCAATTGATGTAAAACACATTAATGAGGCATTTTACATTTTTTGGTACTAACTCTTCAAAGTCTGGTGTGTATTTTACACTAACAGCACATTTCAGTTTTGACAAGCCACACTTCAAGGGCTCAATTGCCACATGCGGCTCGTGGCTATGGCACTGGGCAGCGCAGGTGTGGAGCACTCGCTAAGAATGATAATCCAAGACTGACTGGGTCTCCAAGACTCATATGGAACACGCCTAAACGATAAGACTCTGTTTTCTGGGGGTAGAGGGCCCTGAGCACACCTCCCCCTCTCCCAGCTACAGGAGACCGGGCAGGGACAATGCACAACTCACACCTAGCCAAGCAGAGACTTTTCCCAATTTTTTGTACTTTTGTTTTTTTTAAACAAATCAGATAGGGCTGGCCCTGTGGTCAAGTAGTTAAGTTCACACCCTCTGCTTTGGCCGCCCAGGGTTTCGCCGCTTCGGATCCTGGGCACGGACATGGCACTGCTCATCAGGCCATGCTGAGGTAGCATGCCACACGGCACAACTAGAAGGACCCAAAACTAAAATATACAACTATGTACTGGGGGGCTTTGGGGAGAAAAAGCAGAGAAAAAAAAAAAACCCCAAAACAAATCAGAGGTAAGCAAAGAAGCAGCCAGGTCTTTCACAGGATGTGGGAGACTTGGGCATGCGGGCAGCCATGCTTCATAACACAAGATGAAGGAGGCTAGACATCAGCAGGCGACAGAGAAGCAGAGGGGCAGAGGCAAGTGGGGATGAGCATTCCACTCCCTGGTCCCGGCCTCTCTGGGCCCCAGTCTTGCACCTCCATCCTGCCTAGTGCGTGGGAACCTTACGATCTGTTTGGCATATTTCTTTTCTGCTGAAGCAATCTCATGCCAATGCTTTGTCATTGGCAACCAAGAGAGTCCTGACTAACAGACCTGGGCCTTATAAACGGCCAGAATGAAGCGGCCTGTCTTCATTGGAGCGCTCCAGGTACTGTCCTTTCCTGGGCTGGGCTCAAAGAGCACAAGGAAGACTTACAGGAGCATCCCCTGTCCCATCTGGGCTCCTGGTCCCTCACCGGGTTCCGTCACTGCTCCTGCAAGCTTGGACCAGTATTTGAAGTAGGGTATTTCATTCTATTTTGGTGGACATGCTTCAGTTTTCCTATTTTTGACCAGTCAAAACATATCTATCCACCCCATATGTATCCATTTACTATAAAGCAAATATAGTAAGATGTTAACTGTAGCATCTTAGCGGCGGAATGCGGGTGCTCACTGTATAATTCAACTTCTCTGGATGCTTGCAATTTTCATAGTAAAATACTGAGGGCAACAAATTTACTTGCCTTTCTGTCCATCACCATTTCCTCTTTCTCTTCTGTTCTCTGGATTTTTAGTCTTCCTCCTCCTCCCACAACCATAGGAGGAAGGGATAGATGGTCAAAGCAGAGACACATGACAAAAGCCAGAAAGGTGTGGGCATGGCACAGCTCTTTCTGCTACCCTTCCCTCAAACCCCATCATTCTCCTCTACAGAATTAGGCCTGGAGATCCCAAGAAAGAGAAATGACAGCAAAGTCGCTAACACGAATATCTGCTTTTCCCCTGTGGAACAAGTTTCCAGAACACACACCTATCATCAGCAAGAGCGGCCAACATTTCATTGTCCTTAGGAAACACTCCTAAGCTTTAGACTTTTTTTATTAACACTGCTTTTAAAAATATTTCAATATATTCTGTAAGCGCTAATGATCTGTGATTGGAGAAATGTATGTATTAATTTAAAATGTAAATTAAAGATGTCTCCCAAATGTACCATAGGTCAAAGATTATAAAAATAAAAATCACAGAAATAATGGTCAAGTCCAGGATAATAGGATAATAAACAAAATTATGTGTAGGATACTTTATCCACACTTACTCCTCATGGCAGGTAAGATATTGCCTTCATCTCAGAGTTCAGGACAGTTACATAGCTTGCCTGAGGTTTCACAGCAGAGCCTGGATCTCAACCCAGCCTAGTCTGACCCACTCCAAGACTGTGCTCTCCAGTACCAACATTCCATCACACTACCACTCCCAGAAGAACCGGTGTCCTTGGGCATTCAATAAATACTGAGTGCCAGCCAAGCGGCAAGTGCTCTTCTAAGCGTGAGGCACAGAGCTGTGCAACAACCAAGAAAGCAGACAGCCCCTGCCCTCACGGGGCCTACATTCCAGCTGCTGGGAGTCAGACACTAACCAAGCAGGTGTGTGCCATGGTCCTAAGAGCCAAGAGGGAAAATAAGGCAGGGCAAGGAGGCCACCGGGCACTTTACCTAGAGCCATCAGGAACGATCTCTGATAAGGTGACATTCGAGCACAGACTTAAAGGAGGAGAAGGGGCAGACACGCAGGGATGGGGGGAGGAATGTTTCAGGCAGGAGAGCAGCAAACACGCTGCTGCAGAGAGACACGCTGCTCGCCTGAGTGACAGCACCACTCAGCTAAAGAACACAGTGTGACCAGAGCTCAGGGAGCCAGGGCAGAGGGGAAGGCGATGACATCCAAGGGGGCATGGGGCCCATCTCCAGGGCATCACTGGCCATTTCAAGGACTTCACTTTTCACTCTGAGTGAATGGAGAGAGCCCCTAGAGGGTTTTAAGCAGAGAAATGATGTGATTTATGTGTTAAAAGGACCATCCTGGCTTCTGCTGAAAATGAAATATAGGGTGCAAAGACAAAAGAAGGGCAATCATTTGGGAAGCCCATATAAGGAAGGTGATGGCATGACCCAAGTGGTCCCAAAGGAGGCAGTGGGAGGTGGTTGAGTTGACATCTATTTTTAAGGTAGAAGCAATGGCATTTTGCTGATGCACTGTGGGACGTGAGAAAAGGAGGGTCCACGGGCTCTGGCCTGAGCGACTGAAAGGACAGAGATGCTATCTACTCAAATGGGGAGAGTCACTAGAAGCAGGTTTAGGGGGCAGGAAAGATGGAGAGGAAGGGATCAAGATTCATTTTGGATGTTATACTCAAGGTGCCTTTTAGACATCCAAGAGGTGATGTCACAAAGGCAACTGGAGGGGTCCTGGCTAGAGACAGAAATTTGTATGTCATTCATATCTTGTATTAAAATTCATGAGAATGGACACTATCACCTAGAACAACTGTTCTCAATAGGGACAGTGCTGTCCCTCAGGGAGTGTGTTGGAAATTTTTGGGGGCATTTTTAGTTGTCACCATGACTGGAGGTGCTACTTATATTTAATGGGTGAGAGGATGGGGAATCCAGATGTCCTACAATGAATGCGACAATGTTGCACAAAGCACTGTCCCGCAGGGGCCAGCCTGGTGGCGTAGTGGTTAAGTTCGCGGGCTCTGCTTCAGCGGCCCAGGGTTTGCAGGTTTAGATCCTGGGCACAGACCTAATACCATTCACCAGGCCACACTGTGGGGGCGTCCCACATAAAACAGAGGAAGATTGGCACAGGTGTTAGCTCAGTGACAGTATTCCTCAAGCAAAAAGAGGAGGATGGGCACAGATGTGAGCTCAGGGCCAATCTTCCTCACACACAAAAAAAGAACTGTCCCACACTCCTCACAATTTTCACATATTGCACAGACATTCACAAAGGTGGTGCACCTTTTTATCATTATCTGGGGCTAGAGCATCCCTTTGTTTTACATATAAAAACAATGTACTTCTTGCACAACTTTAAGATACACTGAAGTTTCTAAGCACAAGTCAAGACTGCCCTTGGGTTCAGAGGTTTACCAAGAGTGTTCACCATTTCAAAACAATCAAGTCACTCCCTCAGTATCCTTCATGGTATCTGAGTCATGGACACGACAACCCTGAATCGGTCTGCATCACAGCTGTCACATCCACGGTGCTGTAAGGAGCACCTTAGGTCCTTCAGCACAGTCATGCTCAGGCATATGCAGATGGAAATAGGGATTATTTGATTATGAACTACTTTCCTTTTATAGTTAGGATATTATATTGACTTCTCAAACGTATGTGTGTAGGTAGGTTATGCTATCTCTGAATCTCATCTCAGGGTAGTAAAAGAGGCATTGGGTGTGACATAGTAGTTAGACAAGAGATGAAGCCCAAGGACTGTGCCTCAGTCCCACCTGACGTCAGAGACCCAGGTGATGAGGAGGAGCCAACAACAGAGACTCTCAGGTGCTGCCCGGGAGGGAGGGAAAACCGAGAGAAGCAGCACTCCTAGATGGGGCACAATCAACTGTGTTAATGCTGCGACCACCAAGCAAGATGAGCATGGAGAACTGACAACTGGATTATTGGGATTGTGGAGATCGTTGGTGATCTTTTTTTTTTTTTTAAAGATTTTATTTTTTCCTTTTCTTCCCCAAAGCCCCCAGGTACATAGTTGTACATTCTTCGTTGTGGGTCCTTCTAGTTGTGGCATGTGGGACGCTGCCTCAGCGTGGTTTGATGAGCAGTGCCATGTCCGCGCCCAGGATTCGAACCAACGAAACACTGGGCCGCCTGCAGCGGAGCGTGCGAACTTAACCACTCGGCCACGGGGCCAGCCCCTCGTTGGTGATCTTGACCCCCATCTGTGGGGTGCTGGGGGCAAAACTCTGGCTGGAAAGTCCACGTAATCCAGGGTAGGGGATCTTAGTCTCTCTGATAAATGTTCTGCAGATTTCCTTTCTCGACCCCAGGGCACCCAGCTACCCGCTCTTTGCTCTGTTCCTTTAGGTCAAGATATGCTGGTTCTCCCGGGACCCTGCTCAGAGCCTCTTTTCCTGCCTTGCTTAACGCCCTCTTCAGTCTCCCAACCCAGGGCTACTGGGGCGCGAGCAGCCCTGCCCTGTGGGTTTCAGTCGGTACCTTGCTGAGTCGGGACTCAAAAGCCAAAGAAGTTGAAGATTTAGAACTCTTCATGCCGGAAGAGGCTGCGGGGAGGGGCCGTGCACGCTCCGTCCCATGGCTCCCAGCTTTGATGACTGGACTCCAGGGCTTGGCTGCACTCCTCATCTTTGTGCTACTGGGTCTTTCTGTAGAAGAGCAGAAAAGAAAAACGTGTGTCCACAACTGAACCTGGTGAGAGACATCCTGGAGCTTCACCCCCATATTCCATGTTCACCATCGTTCTCGAAGAGAACAGGCACTTATGATTGGGCTGCACATCGAGCATTCTCTCCCTAAGATGGTACCTGTGCACTAGGCTAATTTTACAACTTTGCAACAGCTTTTACCAAACTATTAAAAACATGTGTGCAATATTACTGATGTTCTACAGAAGGCAGAATCTTTCAGCAGAATGATGGCTTCTTCTTGGTCAGGGACGCCTAACACAGTATAATACACCCATACACTATTTCTGTATATCCCCACACAAAATAGGTCAGCTTGAGTCAAGACCTACTATGTCCATAAGCCTTGTAGCTTAAGGGTTGACAATGGCGCAATCTACCTAATTTTTAAATAGACGGAAATGAATTACTTGAAAATTAGACTTCACAGAAGCACAGATTTTTTTCTTCTTTTGGACAAAAATGGATATCATTTAAAAATTAATAGGGCACATTTTAATTGGTCAGACCTGACATTATAGGGTAGACTTACTCCCCTTAATTAAAATATTTTATGAGAGAAAAATTGTGCAAAGTAGCAGGATGCAGTTAAAGACCTAAGGGGAGAATCCGCATACAAAGATATGAAAGGCAGCCTGAGTTTTTTGATCATTCCTGAGCAAGGTGCAGCACCATATCTTAACCTGAACCTGCTTCTTCCATCAGTAGCGCAATGGGACAGGTTCTCACCCAGCTCCAACCCTGACGCAGCCTGTCCCCATGGACTCTAATGACCAAGGGAGTGAGATGGAATACCAAATTCACAGGTAATGCTCCATCCTTTCAAAAAACAAACCAGAGGGGAATGGGGGAGGGGGGAAGGCATAAAGGGGTGATTAGGCACATGCGTGTAGTGATGGATTGAAATTAGTCTTTGGGTGGTAAACAGGATATAATATACTAATAATATACTAATAATATAAGAAATCGAAATAAACTGATGTACATCTGAAATTTATGTTATAAATCAATGTTGTCGCAATAAGAAATAATTAATTTAACTAATAAATAAATGAAATAGAAAAATTAAAAAATAAAAAACCAAAAATGCACTTTAAAAAAACACTAATAGGTGAGAGCTAATTCCAGTGGCCACACTCAAGGACCTAGGGGTCTGAAACTGACTGCCCCCCCTGAGGGGCTGCAGCTGGCGCTAAGCAGCCCTGGGCCTCCTCTCCCCTCACCCACATCCCAGTCCACCCCATTAGACACCTAGGAGAAAAACAACAGGTCACCTCCTCAGCCTTGCTCATAGAGGAGGCTGTGACCTTCTCCTATTCTGGTCTCCTTTTCCCGGCTGGAGGAGACCATTTCAAGCGACAGTGCCTCTCAGCCAGACCAACCAGTTTCTGCTCCTGCTGAAAATTGTTAGTAGTGTGTCTGAGAGCCTACCAGGAGCTCACTCGCAGCACTACTGAGCTGGCAGCTATGTGAGTGTGGCAACAGGTGAAAATAGATATTCAAAGACTTTGCAATTTGTTTTCTATAGTGTTTTTCAGAAAAGTTATCCATGATTTCAGTTATATGATTAGTTCAGAAACTTACTAGTCTCAGCTTGCTTCCAGGTATCATGATTATTTCTTTTATTCTGTATTAAAAAAAAAAAAACTTACCCTTCACGTATTTTACTGACATTTAGCACCAATTATTTTTCTCTCTTGACCCACAATTTTTAATAAGCTGGTTTCCACAGCAACAATGATAGAATTCCTAGGTTAAGAACTACACAGTAACTAATTTTATTAGGACTCCCAGCATAAAATGAACCAACATAGCCTGAGTGATTCTTGGAGGGAATTACTGATGAATTTTACCAATTACTACAGAATCAAGCAGTAACACATCAGTCTGACTCATGGAGACAACCTGAATAAAATATCTGTCTAATCAAGGCACCCCTTTACGTGATGGCGACAAGTACTTAGAAATGACTATTCCAGGGCTTACTTTATGAAAACATTCGGTGATTCTGCAGTGCATCTACATTTTCCAGAATCTTCCCAGGTTACCCCTGAAATTAAATGCCTGTTGTTTACTCCAAAAAAAAAAAAAAGATAAGAATATGAAGATGAAAAGCAAGCAGGAAGAGGGTGGAAATTTTTCTTGCCGTCTTTTCCCTAATGTTTCTGGAGTCAAACTCCTTGGAGAAAAAAAAAAAAGCCACCTGAGTCAAAACTCAAGATCTTAACTCCTCTCTCCATCTCTGGCAACAAATCGGACAACCTTCTGGACAGTGCACCCGAAAAGTGTTCAACCATTTTCCAAAGACTGACGAGTTACTTGCTTTGAGGCAAAATTCTCAGGGTTACTTCCTTTGTACCATCACTTTTCTTTATTCTTCTAGAACCTTCTGAACCCAATCAAATTATTCCCAAATGAACATATCTAGAGAACTTTTCTCATCTGGAGCCCTCTTGTTTGCCATGCTACCTTTTCTTGGCTCCCTTCACTCTTTTTTCTCGTTATTTTTCCCAGAGTTAGCCTTTTATTTTCTACCCATCCACCAGCCAGATTCTTCCCTTCAAATTCTACCTTCTTTCAGAATTCAATGTATGTGGAAATGAAATAATTGATGTCCCACTCATGTGAACCAGGAAGAGAACCCTGTAGGTAGGGCAAGTGCCCAGGATGGGATGCCCAGAACAGAAATGGGCTCCGCGGGATCAACGCAGCTTTCCAGGACGGATGAGAGGATGAGAGCCAGCGCGTGAGGCAAGCACTCCGCCACAGCGAACACTGGCTTTGTGCCCTGCTCCCCAGTCCCCAAGGTTTAGGACATTATTAAACATGGGCCCCTCACGCCCCAGCTTGGACCAGCGTCTTCGTAGTGTTCTCCAAATCTTCCAGAGGCTGCCTCTTTCCCCTCGCTCTGCTCCCACCCAGCCTACACTCTTCTGGAACAGACCTCGACAGGTTTGTCCTCAGAGCTGTCCACCCACTGTACTTGGTGGGCTTTGGCCCTGCTCTCTGCCCGCTTCCAGGAAGGCCTCCTGCCAGAAGGAGAGCAGGTGCCCCCTAGGCCCGCTCCTGGCTTTTGGCAGAGTTTCACCCAATCTGCTTCCTCCACAACCCTCCTCTCAGCCCTCACCCCTGGCCTGGCTGTCTGACAGGGAACCAGTTAATTACGTGAATACTGCAGTGACATGAGAGCGACTATTCCACTCGGAGCCTGGCAAGGCACTGCTGAGTACTCTCCGTGGGTGTCTCTAAACCCTTACTGTAACCTGATGAGTTAAGTGTCACCCCCATTTTACAAATGGGGAAACTTTGGCTCAGGGAGGTTAAGCAATTTGCCCAAATCACAGAGTTTATGATAGAGCTGGGATTCAAATACAGTTTTAACTGGCTCTTAAACACCAGGGACGGATAAGGCCTTTCTGAACAACCTTTGCTCCCATGGGGAAGCAGGAAGGCTTTCGGATCCAATGCTCCTGGTCCAAACGCAGCTCCACTGTTTACTGCATGAGCTCAGGCACGCTTTTTGAATACACTGTGATTCTCAACATCTTCACCGAATAAAATGGAGTTACTAGTGCCTATTTCACAAAACGGGGAAGATGGAAGAAGAACATGCATGTTGAGGGCTGGGCACTCAGAAGGCACTCAACAAATATTAGCTGCTTTCCCAACAAACACTGTTAACTGTGTTCAGTGGAGGGCTGCTCTGTTTTATTAACTCAATAATACACAGTGATGGACCAAGTAAACCAAGGTTCAGTGGCAGGAACTACACAGACACACCAGATTTAAGGAAAGCGCTCTTCTTGTACACGGAGTGGCCTGTTTTCATTTGGAAACGTGAAGAGAGAAAATAAACTCAAGGGTTGCTTAACAACAGGATACATTCTGAGAAACGTGTCGCTAGGCGATTTCCTCGTTGTGTGAACATCACAGAGTGCACTTACACAAACCTAGATAGTATAGCCTACCACACACCTGGGCTGTGTGGTACTAATCTATGGGACCACCATCGTATACACAGCGTGTCACTGATGGAAACGTCGTTATACGGTACACGACTACAGAGAGGAAAATAAACACAGACAGCAGGCACCCTACCGTCATTAGAATCGATCCCAGCCTTAATACATCCTAGCTGCTGAAAGCTAAACACAGGTGTGAATGCTAGTAAATAATACTTTCCTCATGGACGTAGATTAGTAACAGAAGACTAATAGATGGGCTCCGGCCAAGTACAAGGAATGAAAAAAAAAAAGCTCTCTCTTATTAATTTCCGGATTTCTGAAAATCCTCCTAAACCATCTCAAAGGATCAAACTGATCAAGGAATTACAGTTAAATCCAGGAACCCACTCCCAGGGGCGTTAGGGAGAGGGTCTTCTCAAGGGTGTTTTCTTCAAATTTTTCAAACATTTTCTTACCAAGCTTTTTCCATCTCCAGGATAGTGTAAGACATGTGTTTACCCGGTAACTCATAAATTGCACGGCATAAAGTGAAGAGGAAGAAGGGAGGAAGGGAGGAAGGGAAGAAGGGAAGAACCATTTGAGGAAGACAGGTGTTGGGCACCAGGGAGTCAGAACCCATGCCTATGTCTCCTGCTCCCCCAAAACGTGTTCCTCTGCTACTTAATCGCTGCCTTCAGAATCTGCGTCGGAGGGGTTATCTCGGGCCTCAGATTTATTACCCTTTCAAGGTAAGAAAACAGGCGACTAGGAAACCATTCTGGACTATCACAAAATAATGAGTCTCTGGGAGTGGGAGAGGGCATTGAGGTCTCAACTACAAGTTACAATAAGCCCCAGGAAGCGGGAAGCTAAAGCATTCAAGTCTGAGAACTAACAAAATAAGAATGTTCACATAGCTCAATCACCAGGGGACTCGGCAGGAAACAGAATGTAAGTGAACAACATGTTGCAAACAGCTAGCTAGAGCTCTTTAGAACACGGCTGAGTTTGCTCTTG